TTTTTAGATATATGCTGTTCTTTTGAACTTTCTATTTATCAAAGAATCCTAAAAATAGTTCAATTGTAAAAAATATTTCATAATATTTAATTTTTTTCCCCTCAAATAAGAGACTTATTTTAAAAACATAAAAAATCCATTGCAAACCCCAGACTTTTGAACTGTAGTGTATTATTCATAAAGTCATTTAATTACAAGATGTGCGTTAATTGTACCATGTTACTCTCAGCACTGTTTATAAGTGGTGTGAAGCTCCACATATTTCACACATAGAACTCTGTCTTAATCTATTTGCATTGTGAGTGTCAGGTTGTCTCATACATGCAGCATATCCAGGGTTTCTTCATGTTCTTTCAGAAATGCTGTGAAAACACATTGTCAAAGGCGACGGTGACGCTCTTAACTGGGAGCTACTGTTTCATTTCAAATAAGAATCGTTATTCGACAGGCGCTAAAAAATGCATTGTTTGCTGAAATGTTTAACACTAGCTGCATGCTATATAGGCTATACTTTCATTCATCTGGATGTTAAGCGCTCATTCCCATTGTTCAGTTCTACAGCTAATCTTGTCCTAAAGACTCCTTTTTGATTAGGCATTAGCAGCACATGAAAGGTTATTAAGGCCACTAATATGAGGGTTTGGAGGGCGTCTGTGCTGAAGAATAGGAGGGAACCCGTAAGAGACAGGGCTAATTACCATCCATCCTTCTATGTGAACCCAACCATCTGCCAGTGTCACCCACTTATTGTCTATTGGCTTTCAATCATGAACGGACCGCTGCAGCCAAAGATGTGTGTTTTAATTAGAGAGCTGCTCTATAATTATATTTATATTATAATAATGACTTTGACGAAGCGTTTGAGTGGATGTCCTTCATTGTTCACTAAAATGATAATATTTAATTATGATGTTTGAACACTGCAGATTTGAGCAAGCTGAGTGGTTCTCTGTCTCTTTGACTTGCACACGTGAGCACGCCACCACACACACACTCATGCTCTCGCGTTCTAGCTCTGTTTTTCAAACACACACAAATACATGTTCTTACCGTGTACAGTAGTGCCGTAGTGCTCATTTGCTCTGTTCTAAAATCTAGTGAGCTGCCTACTTGGGCATCATAAGCCTTAAAGGAATAGTTCACCAAAAAGAGAAAATGATGTCATCATTCCATGAATGAGTGGCTTTCTTCAGCGGAACACAAAAGAAGATTGTTTTAAAGGGGTCCTATTATGCTCTTTTACAAAGTCTTGATTTTGTTTTGGGGGTGTACTAGATCAGGCTAGGTTGCTATACTAGGTTGTTCGAAAAACACATTTTTATTTTTCACATATTTTACATTATTACAACACCTCTCTCCCTAGTCTGGCGTGAACGGATCAAATAATTCCTGTATCAAATGAAGGCCCGCCTTCTGAAATACGAAATGTGCTGTGATTGGTCAGCTGGGCCAGTGTGTGTTGTGATTGGCAGAACTCGGCGCCTGGTCGGGAAATGTGATGCTTTTTAACCATAGCCGCCTGCGAACTTCAGTGTAAATATTGCATCAATATCAAATCATTTTGAGCATGATTTAAACCCGGATGATTGTAACCACTCTAAGTTCGTCTGCCTTGGGAAAGCTAGCGCGTCTCCGACTCATTGCCTTCTCTAGTGCAGCTCAACCAGGTCTCGTCCCATTCGTCGGTATTTGTGATATCACAAATGCGTATGAGTTGTAGTCCAAACGAGTCGTTCGTTGTAGTTTTTGAAAAGTGATTTCTGTTAAATAAAATATCTCCTTTTGAAGTGGACTTTGAGCTTTGTAACCTTGCAGATCTTTTTTATGCTCAAACAGCAACATTACAGACTAACTAAAGTTGAAATGTGAAAAAGCATAATAGGACCCCTTTAAAAATGACACATTTCTTTGTTTTGTTTTTCCATACAGTGAAGTCAGTGGGCTTAGATGTTTTTTTGGACACAGCTCTTTTTTATTGTATGGGCAAAATATATGAAACTTTATTCAAAATAACATGTTTCATGTTCTGCAGAAGTACAGATTTCCAACTGTATGAGGGTGAATAAGGGATAGAATTTTTATTTTCTATCTTTTTAAAATGCTGCCTCCTAAGATACCTTGTTTCCCCCAAATTCTAAGAAATGCCTTATTTCAATCAATATTCTTTCAATCTGATTATTTTACCCGGTATTTGTGTCTTGCATCAATGATTCAGTGTTTTCGCCATTAGCTTAGCAACTTGCTAACATCAAACTCTATTGGAATCAATTGTGAATTGCTATTGGTGATGCTGATTGAGTTTCTTCCTATGTACAGCATTCCAAATCAGTCACTTATGAGTTTCCTTGATGATTAGAATGCAGCCTCAGAAGGCAACTTGCTATTTAGGCAGTGAGGCAGCTCACTATGCTTTGGAACAGAGCTATTGTTTTTAGTGGAAGGTAGTCGTGCATAAAACCATTAAGCCAAAGTCTTGTAAACATGAATCTTGGACTCTGCAGTCAGTGTATTCACCTACAGTCAGTTTACTTTATTTCGCACACATGCATTGTGCCCCCTTCCTCGCTGCTGTTCCATACCTGTTCCCTTCCCCTGTGTAACGCACGCTTAAAGTGAATTAAAGGGCACTTGGTAGCGAGCAATTAATCCCTGATGCCTAATCTCGTAATAACACCATAAAGAGCCGCTAAACCGGGAAGGAGATGAAGACACTTTCATCCAGCCCTGCCGGTGTGGCTGTAGCATCAGTTCACACTGCCTGGAGACCAAATTATCCTCTTGATTGATTGAGTTTCAAGACATAAACCGGAGGACGATTCGCCTGCTCGGCTTTACGACTCTCCGTCTCTGTCTCGCTTTCTCGTTCTCCCGCCCAAACATGAGCGGCGCAGAGATAAGTGACTTAAGTGGACTACAAAGTGTCGGGAGCGTGGAGCCATTTCCATATCGCCATTGTGCTGCCGATGCCGGTCATGGTTGGAGTTAACCCTATAGTGTTGCACTGGATCATCTTTCTGGCTCTTGCTGGATTTCTCTCTGCCTTTATGGAATTCAAGCTGCGGTTTCTGACTCGCCCCCTGGTCTCGTGTCTCTTTTCAGCTCTTGTTATAGCGTGAATTTGTGATTTGTGAGGTGTTATGGAAACTGGTGCTGCATAAGTAGAAAATTATCATTTGCTTGATGAATGAGTGTTTGGTGTGTGTTGAAATGCTCAAGACAAAATAAAAATGAATGAAAATACACAGACAAATGGATAGTGTAGACTATAAGGCAATAAAAATCACATACATTTTTTTTTTCCTTGAAATAATTTTAATTTTCATCAAACGTTTGGGGTTGGTAAGATTTTTTTAATGTTTGTGAAAGAAGTCTTTTATTTTTCACTAAGGCTACATTTATTTGATCAAAAATAAAGTAAAAACAGTGATATTGTAAAATATTGTTAAAATTTAAAAAAGTTATCTATTTGAATATATTTAAAAATTTAATTTATTCCTATTATGGCAAAGCTGAAATTTCAGCAGCCATTACTCCAGTCTTCAATGTCAAATGATCCTTCAGAAATTATTCTAATATTTAATGCATCCTTAAAAAAAAAAAACTTATCTAACCCCAAATTTTTGAAAAGTAGTATATAATAAATGTTAAATAAATAATCCTGCGAATTATTTACTTTTTTTATTATAGGGTGTATTATATATGAATGGATTAAAGAATACCTTTGCATAAACAGGCATCGAGTAAAGTGTTACATATGCCACTGATGTCAAAAAATATCAAGAGGACATTGATGTAATCTGTCATATTTAGTATACAATCCCTATCAAATTCATATTAACAAATAAAGAGATTTATTTTTATTATTATTATTTTTAAATCTAAAGGGTTTTTTTTCATATTTTTTTCCTATTTAACAAATGAATGTTGGGCCATTGAATAACTGTGTACTGCAGTGCTATATTTACACCATTAAAGCATTCTAGTCCCTTTACATTTCGCATGATAGCTGAAATCTAATTAGTTTATCACAGTTACTTGACCACACAAGCTCAGTAGCATATCTGAAAGTCTGATGCTCAGCCGTAGCCCTCCCGCTGTGTGCTTCAAACAGATAAGCTAAGGAGCAGCATGGTCACCCATGCAGAAATACCCAGAGTGCATTAGGGCCACTGCAGTCTCCTCCGCACTCCAAAGTGGGTGTCCACAGTACACAGTACATTACAGCAGCCAGCAGAACCTGCAATGACACTGCAGCAGCTTTATGAGTCAGTAATGTTGTGAGGTAGCTTGATCCTGCTTTTTTTCTAATTTATCCTCTCCTCTCATTTCCCTCTCCTTTTTTACCCTCTCCTCTCCTCCCTTCACTACTTCCATTTTCCACCCTGTTCCTTCTCCTCTTTCCTCTTCTTCTGTCTGCTTGTTTCTATGCCTACTCCTGTTTCCTCTTTTGTACTTCTCCTCTCATACCTTCACTCTTCCACATTAAATTTTTTGCCCTGTTCTCTGTTTTACTTTCCTATATTATCTCCTTTCCTTTCATCCTTTTGCTAATGCCCATTTTCCACCTTGTTCTCTTGTTTATTCTCACCTCTGCCCTGTTCCCTGTGCTTTTCCTCTCCTTTCCACCTTTTTTCCTCTCTTCTCTTATTACTTCTCTACTCCCTTTTTCCACTCTGTTCCCTATTTTTCTCACCTGTCCATTTTTCCATCCCCTTCCATGCCTCTCTTTTCTCTATTTCCTCACTTTCTGCCCTGTTTTCATATTTTCCTTCTTACCTCTCCTCTTATCTCATGTCTATTCTTGATTTTTTTTTACTCCCCTCTCCTCTCATTCCTTTACTTTTTCCTTTTCCACCCTGTTTCCACGCTTCTGTTATTCTTCTCTTTTCTTATTTCATTTTCCACTCTGTTATCCTTTCATTCCCTCTCAACGTGTCTTCTCCTCCTCTCTCCTCTTACCTCAACCACATCCTGATCCCAAACCCCACCCACCCGCACAGGCTTCCAGGCAACAGCGTATGGTCCAGTAGCGGCGGCGGCAGCAGTGGCAGCAGCACGCGGCTCAGGTAGGGGGGCCCGTGGAAGAGGCGGCTACGCAGCATACCCTCAGAGCACAGGGCCAGGTAAACACTCTGGCCTTAGATCAGTGTGACTGCTGCTCTCTCCATGCTGCTCCTATCTCTAGCCGCCTCTGTCCTCTCTCACACACACATATACACTCACATATACACACATTCTGTAGTTAGAAGGAAAGGACAGGACTCAAGGCTCCTGCCTGCTTCCTCTCCTTTCCTGTTGTAGATGTGATTTATGGCACTGGCAGAAGTCGCCCCACTAGCCGATGGTCTGAGACCAGCTTTTCCCCTAGTTTTCCTAATTTAGTTAATGCCAGGTTTATTGTCGGTGGAACTGGTTACAGATCAGGGCACAGGGGCCACCTTCCGCTTGCACAGCCATTTGTACTTTACCGTAGCTGCTGTATTTGTTTCGCTAACCCTCTTCCCCACACAAAGACAAACAAAACACTATTACACACGGACTTACACGAATTAGCCTTTTCATTTCTCTTGGTTTGTCAGTTCTCACATTTAATCGTCGGCGCTCACGGTCGTTAATGCCTTCCTCTGTCATTTGGACAAACTTTGTTCGCCTTTGACTAGAAAACACAGTGTGCGCACAATAAACAGAGTGTGCACATTAAAAGTTCCCAGTCGCTCCCTTGTTCCGCCGTGGTTATTGATCCGGAGGTTGGATAGCTTAATCTATCAATCTGACTTTGTCTGTAAGACACAAGGATACTTAAATAAATAAACAGCAGGGAGGAACAGCCCTCAGCCTTCTCGCTGACGTCTGGCCTTTAGCACTATGTGAAATGATGGTCTTGGCTAATTGGCCATCAGAAAGTAATGCCATAGCGGGTGCACTTATTTACACACATCCATACTGGTACATTGTCTAGGCACATAAAAAGGCAAAAATACACCTTTTCACGCACATGCGTTTACTGCATATTTTGACTCGAGTTCGCTCCATTGACACGTGCTCTCCAGCAGACAGCTATCCACCCCGGTGTAATTGGCAGACAAGCGTAAATGTGGCTCGACGCACGGTTTGAAGAAATGCAGTCGACAGAGCGTGAGCCAATCAGTCATGCCTCTCCACCCAATCAGACGTGTCTGATTCTGATTAGCACCCGGCTAAAGAAACCAACTTAGCCTGAAAAAAAAACAGCTCTCTGCATCTCGGTGCTGTTTAATGTGTGTGAATTACACCAGGCTTGTTTGGAGCGGGCTCTGAGTTTAAAACGAGAGCTACATGAGAAATGACTCTCAGGCGATGGTGTCTCCAGACTTTTAAACAGCTCGTGGTCATAGTTGTCAGCTTGTAGAAGTCATACACGAGGCTGGCATTGTGAACTTCAGATCTTGAGCTTGATTTTCATTTGAACATTGAAATACTTTGTGTTTTGGAGAGGAATGTGATTAGGTAAGGTCTTGGCCCACTGGACCAAGTTTATTAGGCCAGTGTAGTTGTTTTAGCACCCTCCCATCCCCCATGGCTAGCATCTTAAACTGATGGTGCAGTTGCACTCTTTTGTGACTGATGGAGTCGCTCCATGGTTGCGTTGTGACAGAAGTGAGAAAGCCATTGAGACAGAGCACTGACATTTAAGGATGACCTTTTCCGAGAACCTCATCATCTATTACCCAACTGATCTCCATTGCGCAGCACAATTTATACACCCCTGCTGTGCATACATTTGCTGCTAGGCGGAGGATGAGATGTGCTTGCGTGCCTACTGTCAGTCAGTTAACTCCTGCGCAAACCTACCGGCAAGGGTACTGTGAAAGTCAGAGGCTCCGCTCTGACAGACGAGCTGTCGCACGCCATTCTGCAGGGTACTATGGTGAAATGGTGACGCCACAGACGGCTCTTGCAGATCATCTTAATCACTGCACAATCTCCGTCAATCACCCGAGGGTGATTCCTCCACCTGCTTGATGCAATGATAAGCATTTGAAACAGAGGTTCTCAACCTAGGGGTCACAACTCTGTGTGGGTCACCAAAGATGCAAATAGGGTAAAAAAAAATATGAATATAATATAATATAGGGATGCACCGATTTATCGGGCAATAATCCGTATCGGCCGGTAAAAACAATTACCTGCCTTAATGGCCATCGGCCGATTGTTGAAAAACAGCCGGTGATCAGGGCCAATTATTTCCTGTCAATCAAAAGGTGGCGGAAAAGCGTGTCAGACTGCAACTTGCATGAAGAAAATGTTTCTTGTGTTGAATTTAGGGCTGTCCAGGTTAAAGCAATAATAAGGGTTCTATTTGACCCTATGAAACGCCCGTATTTCAAGCCAGGGTTTCCAGATCTGCGGTTTTCCCTTCACAAAACATTTTTTGTAATGCGCCTCCAATACAGTTATCACAAAGAGCTTTGTGCTTTGTTACTTCTGAAAAGAAACAAAATCTCAGCTTTTAAATCCTGTATATTTTATAACAAAATTCAAACAATAAATTTCATTTTGACACTCTTGTTTATTAATGTTGCATGTCAGATCGCTGTAGCAGCTTCAGTTCAAGCGCCAGTGTGGAGCACGCGTCTTTTCCACTTTAATACAAGTTATAGCTCGAAATAAACATAAAGGAACATCAGAACGTATGTTGAAAGATACAGTATAACTTACCGAAACATATCATGTCTTATATAATCGCTCAATCAGCATTTTTACCGGAAGTCGTCAAATAAAACAGCTTGCGAACAATATTGCATTTATCTCAGGAAAATTATCCACTGTTCACTATAAAAAAAACACTAGCAAGAGCTTATTTACTGTTAATTATATATGTATGTTTTAATAAATCTGTCATGAAGACAAATTTGTATGATAATTACTTTGTGCTTTGTTACTTCTGAAAAGAAACAAAATCTCAGCTTTTAAATCCTGTATATTTTATAACAAAATTCAAACAATAAATTTCATTTTGACACTCTTGTTTATTAATGTTGCATGTCAGATCGCTGTAGCAGCTTCAGTTCAAGCGCCAGTGTGGAGCACGCGTCTTTTCCACTTTAATACAAGTTATAGCTCGAAATAAACATAAAGGAACATCAGAATGTATGTTGAAAGATACAGTATAACTTACCGAAACATATCATGTCTTATATAATCGCTCAATCAGCATTTTTACCAGAAGTCGTCAAATAAAACAGCTTGCGAACAATATTGCATTTATCTCAGGAAAATTATCCACTGTTCACTATAAAAAAACACTAGCAAGAGCTTATTTACTGTTAATTATATATGTATGTTTTAATAAATCTGTCATGAAGACAAATTTGTATGATAATTACCTTATGTGCTATTAAGTTGTATACAAAGTTTTTATTTGAGTGTGATTATTATATCTGATTATTATTATATCAGCATTGAATATAATAGGGTTGTTATTTATTTTAACCTCAAATGTACCAAATGAAAGTGTTCCTTGTATAGTTCACATCATTCGATTTTTTTTCCCTTAAGAAAACTAAACTATCGGTATCGGCATTGGTATCGGCAGATATCATTCTGAATAATCGGCTATCGGTATCGGCTAAGAAAATGTCATATTGGTGCATCTCTAATCTAATCTAATATATTTTTTTGTAATTTTTTTTCCTTTTATAAGAAGTCTCTTAAAAATACTGTAAAAACTCTAATATTGTGAAATATTATTACAAGTTAAAAGAACGCTTTTCTATTTGAATGTTTTAAAATTTAATTAATTCCTGTGATGCAAAGCTGAATTTTCAGCATCATTACTCTTGTCTTAAGTGTCTCATGATTCTTCAAAAATCATTATAAAATGTTGATTTGCTGCTTAAGAAACATTTCTTATTATTATCACTGTTAATAATAAACATTTCTTATTATTATCACATACTTTAGCTAGGCCAAATGATGTGTGTAATTTGAATGTCTTCGTTGGTTACCGACTGGGCCTCTCTGTGTCAGTTTGGTCCATGAAACAGATCTTCACTTGGTAGCAATTGATCATTATGCTTCGGTTAACAGACTGATCAGCAAATTTTTTTTACTAATTTTCTGATTGGTTTAGCATTTTAAACTGATTATGATTGTTAAATGTACATAAATGCACTTCAAGATATTACAGCATGTTTGCTAAAGCCAGTACATACTGCAGAAGCTCATGAAATGGCATGTATCTGCACCCCAGATTTAATCTAGAACTTGAAAGTGGCATGCTAACTTTTAATTTGTATATCAACGATCATAAAAACACCCACAAACCAACCCTGTTGATGTGTTGGTGTGTAGGACGCTGGGACGATGGTCATGTTTCTGTTGTTTCTCTCTTGTTTGGTTTGGTCCTGCTGAAAGCCAGTGTGTGTAAGTCAGAGACAGCACCAGTTGACTTCCTCTCTCCACACTGTCCTCTGGTCACACTCCAGCGGAAGGTTTGTCCCTGCTGCTGTACTTCCCCCTTCCCTTCTTCTTTCTCTCTCAATCGTATCCTGTGTCCTCTTATTTATGTATTCTCTATCTTGGGTTTCAGTATTATTTTTTTATACCATTTTCCTTTTTTCTGATCTGTTTATCATATAGTGCAAACTGGAGGGGATAGTTCATAAAATATTCTATTATTTACTCACCCTCATGCTATTTAAAATCTTTGTGACTTTCCTCTTTCAGATGAATACAAAAAGGAGAAATTCACTCTTTGTTCATGCAGTTACAATGTATGGGAACTGAAGCTTCCAAAAGTAAACGTATCATAAAAGTGATGCATACTTAAAAAAACAAAACAAAACAGACTATGCATTATGTTAGTATTTTTTATGTACTGTTATAGTTTTTATATATGTTTTGATTTAGGTTTAATTTTTACAATTTTAATTTTAGCGTAATATTTAGTTCTTTGCTTTTAATTTTTTTCATGCTTTTTAAAAATTACTATTTAGGTTTAATATATTGATTTGTTTTGTTTCAGTTTATTTGTTGCTTTGACTCATTTCAGTTTCCAAGGCATTTCTAATTTATCTAATATTTACATTTTATTTCAGCTTTATTTCAGTTAACAAAAATGTTTTTAATAGTTTTAGTTTTA